GATTGCAAATTGTTAGACTGAATAGGATGATCCAGTAAATCGGATGATCCAATAAATCGACTGATTGTGAATTGTTGGACTGAATAGGATGATCCGGTGAATTGATTGATTTAAGTAATTGATAAAGAAAAAAAGCTTCAATCATATCAACTCTCACAAAACTTAACCTGATCATTAAAATAATGATAGCTAAGCTTTCCATTATTCAATGATTTTTCTATTTTTTTTTTTTTGTAAAATTTCATTTTTCGAAATTTGTGAAATTTTCGAATTTTTCAAATAAAGCCCATCCAATTTTAGTTACTAAATTTGAATATTTGAAAATTTTTTTTTTTTCACAACACTGTCGAAATATTTACTCGCAAATGATATTATATTGCTTTTTTCTTATTTTTCTAATTGAATTACTAGTATTTTGTAATTTAACATCTAATGTTATAAAATCTCAGGTATAATTACCAGGTGTAATTAGTCGTAAATAATATTATTATTCTTTTGATATTCAGAATCTAAAAAAAAAATAAAACTCTAATTTAATAATGGATAAATTTTAATAACTTAACTCTCATCTATGCTATATTACAGTTTATAATCGCCAGTATTTTTTTTGTTTTTGATATTCAAAAAATGAGTCCAAAGATTATTTTTGATGAAGTCAATATTCCTATATATTATTTTAATTTCGTGTTGAAACTTTGCAAATCGGAAATTATCACATCTGAAAGCGAAAAATATGCAAATTTTTTTTTTCCTGAAAATATGATTTAGAGAAATTACGAAATTGAATATGTTTGAAAGAATATATTTGCTTATTTGTGTTACCTTCCAATGATTCATTTAAATTATTTAAATCAAGAATGAAGAAGTAACAAATGGGAAGTTAAAAGAAAGTTCATCAACTTCAAAAGTTATGTAAAAAAAAAAAGAGACCGACTGAAATATACAGTTGACAATTGTAATTAATTAAAAATGAATGAGGACAAAATTTTAAGCTTTTCCATCTAATACGAGTACAAGTAGTAGACATTTGCATCAAATAAGAAATGCTTTGGTGTATATGTCAATATGTCACCGCACATTTGAGGTACCTTTGAGTATTTTGAAAAAAAAAAAAAAGAAGCATTAGTATATCATTATACTTACGTTATCCATGCATATTCCACATGTACTTGGCTTGCACGTACGTCATTTACGTATTCCATATTTCAAATATATTGAATCTTTAAGTTACGTTCTATCGTGATCGCTTTTTTTTTCGAATTAATATAATTGATGTTCTTTGATATTTGAATATAAAAATATTTTAAACCCGATTTGAGCCATTTATTAATCTTTTCAAAATGTGTAATATATTTACAAATCATTGTTAGTCATTGCTAAAATAAAATTAATATATTAATTTAAAAATTAATTTAAAATATAAAATTAATATATTGACCTTAATCGATTGATCATTGGTTTTTTATCACAAATATCTCTGATCACTCAGTTTTTCTTTCCTTTTTTTTAAAATTGATAAGATTAGCTATTAAATTGAATTCAATTATAAATTTAACAGTTTAAATATTAATGAATGCAAAAATGTTAGATTAATTTCGGAATAAAAAAAAAAACTGATAATAATGATGATAATTAATTTTTAATAATAAAAAAATGCAATGATGATCATGCTGAGTGATAAAATTCGTTGAAGAAAATAATTTGAATAATTATTTATTCAAATTTGAAATGAAATTTTAAACGAGAACAATGTTATTAAATAGTTGAAGATTACAAGTAAAAAAAGTGTCCAAGTACAACAAAATTACTTCCAAACTTTAAATAGAATACTTTAAATGATTGAAATTCTTAGCAAAATTTAAAAAGTACTCCTAATAGGTAAAACTTAAAATATTACTCGATATTATCAATATTATCCAATTAGAAATTACTATTTTCAACAATCAAAAGGGTAATTTGAATGCAATGAAATTACTGTTAAACATTAAATAAATAATTGAAATTCTGAGCAAAATTTAAGAAATACTCCTAATAAGTATTTAAAATATTACAAATATTATCCAATTCGTTCATTTATCAGTTATTCAGCGCCCTGAATAATAACTAATTGCTCTCATATCTACTGTAATTGTGCATTTTGACAATTTTCTATTCCAAATACGAAATTGTAATTTATAATTTTAAAAAAAAATTTTTTTACAAAAAATGAAATACTCGAAAATTGCTTTAATAATTTTCACGATAATTGTAATAATTGTGATGAGAATTATGCCAAATTTTTTGAATTTTCCATTGAAATTCTATTATTACTCAAAAATTTATTCAGAAAATATTTAAAAAAGAAAATTATTATTTTTTAAAAATAATCATAACTTAATGATACCTGAAGAAACAAAAATGGAATCATTTGAGTAAAGAAGAATATGTACATCGTTATTTGTTTAATTAATTAGTGTTCCTTTCTCTCTCTCTCTCTCTCTCTCTCTCTTTCATTTCAATTTGAAAATTTATTTATTTAATGATTTTTATTGGAATAATTAAACGACTAATTAGTTGCTAGCATTTAAAATTTAGCAATAAAAATAATGCAATTTTCATTTTGCTTTGTTTTTTTTCTTGAGAATTTAGAAATTTTTAAAAAAATCAGAAGATCAGATAAAAAAATTATCAAAATTTACTTATTTTAATAACAATTTTATCAAAATGAATGAATTTTGCGTTCATTTACTCATTCATTGATTTACCGCCCATTATCACGTCAATTAACCTTTCCCCTTCCCATTACCACGTTAATTAGTTAGTTTTTACCGCCCATTATCACGTCAATTAACCTTTCCCCTTCCCATTATCACGTTAATTAGTTGTCCCTCATTATCATATTAATTAATTTTTCCTTTTTTTTTTTAATTTTTTATTTACACGTTTCCTTTCATATTATTTATTTAATTTTCCTTAAAAACAAAACTTATTCAATCATATGAAATATTTTGAGAAATAAAATTAAAATTTGTCAGAAGAAAAGAAGCAGAAATACAGGAATATTGTAAAATTGAATCATCAATTACTTTAATCATTAATTAATACTTTAACCATCAATTAAAAATTTAAACAACAATTACTTTAACCACCAACTAATATTTTAATCATTAATTAAAATTTAAACATCAATTACAATTAATCGTGCAAAATTTCAAAACATCATTAAATATTAATATTATTAACATTATTAAAATATCATTTTATTATTAAAAAGAAAAAATAAATATTATCATTTTTTTTTCATAGTATTATTTTACAACAAAACATATGGAACATTAAATATAATGGAAAATACATTAATAATGTGATAAATAATGAAAAACAAATTTGATGTTAATTTAAAAAAAAAGGAAATGATTAAAATTAAAATTTAATTTTTATTTAGTATTCTTTTTACAAAAAAAAAAAGGAAAAAATATTGAAAATATTTATAGAATTAAATGTGGAGCACTAAATATAATAGAAAATGTTGATAATATGATAAATAATGAAAAACAGATAAGACATGCTCGATCAACAACCATTGCACTAAATTTCCAATCATTTTGTAAACGTTCCGATTCTTTTTCTTCTATCATTTGATCACCGATCTGAAAATGACAAAAAAAAAAAAAAGGTAAAACTTATTGAAGTACCATTCATTATAATCTTTTTTTTGCCTATAATTTAGGAACCTAAAATTGATTGCAAATTGAACTATTCATTTGAATTGAATTTGATTGAAATCATATTCATTATCATATTATATTCATTTGAATTGAATTTAATTGAAATCATATTCATTATTCATATTATATTCATTTGAATTGAATTTGATTGAAATCATATTCATTATCATA